CCAGTAACCACTTAACATCAGGTGGGCTGTGAGCTCGTCCACACAGCTAAGCAATAAAAAATAAATAAAAATTAAATAAATAAATGAATATTTTATCGAAATACAGTTAATGGTACTTTGTTTATTTGTCTCTATATATTTGCGCATAGTTGACGTGATTGGCTCGAGATTTGGTAACGTTCTTGTTCACTCTTCAGGGAATGCTTTTGTCGTAGTCCCATCAACGTGGGATAAGAAGCACCCATGTCCTTTAATACAATGTTTTGGCCATACAACGGTCACATCGGAGCGTGGCGAGGTTTCACATATAATTAAAAACATTTTTAAAGTTTAATTATTATTGTCTCACAATACTGCACCTTTTTCTTTTATTAAAAAAAATGGCTCCAATGCCTTGGGCATTGATTTTACTTTTTGGGCATTGATTTTTATTATTTATAATGTCACAGTATAAACAAAAATGACACCGGTACTTAGAAAAAGAAAAAAATATTACGCGAATCGGTGATTTTAAGAACGGCACAAACAAACATGTTAAACCAACTAATTTTAAAGATAAATATTATTAGTCGATAAAAAATTACATAAAATATTTACATGTTTAAAATTTACTAAAAATACTTCCCCTAAAATAATCATTTCCACCTGTCTTGGCGTTCAAAAGCGGCTCCTTTTCATCTGTTCCAATACTTACGAACAAAGTTAGCAACACAAAGCATTGTATAAGTCTAGCGCCAATTGCCCGGGCGCCGGCCGTATTGCACATAAATGCGACACGTTCGTAATTGAACTTATTGGCCGCCTTGTCTTATTGGCTTTTATTGTGTTACGGCTCCGTGATTGAGACGATGTCTCGGATCTTGACGTCACTAGGCGGTTTATTGTTTGCCGAATGATTTGTTATGGATCAAAAACGATTAAGCAGTGAATCAAATGACATGCGACAATTTAAGTTGTAATAAATATTTAAACATTTGATTTACGGGTTAAGAACAGTCAATGAATATATTACTAATAAGTCTAACTGTATTCTGAATTCTAAGAAGAAAACTCCGTACTCCTTAGCTTATGTAAAATGTAATCCTCCTTAGCTTATGTAAAACTTCCTCTTCTTGGTGAATAATATCGATAATAATAATATCGATATTTTGAATTTGTGATTGCAACATTACGAGTATACCTAACAATAACAGTATTTTGTTTACTGATTCGCGGTGAATTAAAATTATCGCTACGATAAGCCTACGGTGGCTACGTCGCTACGCGCGTGCTACGGTGTAGCTTTACATTTTCAGAGAAAGTGCGAACGTGGAATATAAAAATTTGAGCACAAATTGACTTTATATCCCGTCAAATATATAACCGATATCTTAATTACAATTACAATACTTTCACGATGTATTCTCAATTTTATTTATTTCGACGTTTGGATTTATTTTTATATTTCGTAGTCACAAAAGACTGACGTGCCGATAAACGCGAGATTAAACCTTAAAAATATAATAATTGTGACAACCAGAGAAACAATGAACCGATATCACCCTCCTATCAGTTTTTTTTTGTTTATCGCTTAGATGGATGGACGAGCTCTCGGCCCACATGGCGGTAATTACGCAAATTATAATTTTGACGTTTAGGCCACGACGACTTCAAAAGTGTATAAAATTAGTTAATTTTTTATATAAAATTCCTTCGCTGCTTCTAAAACAGGATGGTTATAAGAATAGTACATAATATGTAGTTGTCAAAAATCAAATTTATGCTGATTATGCATATTAAAAATATAATAAAAACTCAAGAATCTAGTTATAAAAACTTGCCAGTGTAATACGGGTCTAACCTTTTTTTTTTTTTTTTTTGGTCAGGAGGAAATCGCCGGACTTCCGCCCTCCACTGGGGATAGAGAGCGGAGCATGTCAGAGTCGAACTGACTAAAACCTCCTGTCGCTCAACAACCAACGTCCAAACCTCGCATGAGACAGAACTCATGAAGAGGCAGAGGGGGGAAAGTGAAGCGTTTAGTGCGGAGCACATCTCTCCCATCACCCTCCCCCTCGGGACGCCGGACCGGCGGTCGTCGGCGCCACGACCACCAGCCCTCTCGGTCGGCAGGCTATCCGAAGCCCGCCTAGATGGCGCCGGTTAGAGTGAGCTATCCTACGGAATACCCCGCTGGACCAGAACCAGCGTGAGTCGAGGATAGCCGGCCTTCCATCACCCGGATGCTCTTGCGTAAAACGCGTGCAGAGCAGCTTGCACGTCGTCTTCTTAGGCCCCCCTCGCCGGTCCCCAGACCGACATGTGAGGGGGACCCGAAACACTTAGAGGGCCAGGGCTTGGGCGAGATCCGCCTCCCTGGCCCCCGCTCGACGGCGGCGGGATTGTGCGTCTCTCACGCGCCCCGCCGCCTCCTTCTGCGAGATGGTGCACTCGCAGAAGTCGAGCATCGCCTTCCACGACTCGTCGTCGCCGAGCATCGATGCCACAACACTCGGCAACGACAAGTCGTTTCCTAACGGGTCTAACCTAATATGTCGCTTGTAAGCGTTTAATTGTATTTTTAATATAAAATTGTATTCTTTGCAGTTTCAATTTTTTACTAGTGAAATGCAACGGGAATGAAGGATTTGTGAAAATTCTAAATATTTTGCGATGATTATTAGTAGACATTAAGCTGTGTGCAAGATAACTACGTCTTTTCTATGGAAAGCCAGACCCTTCAAGCCGCGTCCGAAATAAATAGGGCCGCTGGTTAGTAGGCTTATTACTGGTGGTAGGATCTCTTGTGAGTCCGCATGGGTAGGTACCACCACCCTGCCTATTTTTGGCGTGAAGCAGTAATGAGTTTCAGTTTGAAGGGTAGCCGTTGTAACTATACTTAAGACATTAGAACTTATATCTCAAGGTGGGTGGCGCATTTACGTCGTAGACGACTATGGGCTTCAGTAATCACTTAGTATCAGGTGGGCTGCGAGCTCGTCCACCCATCTAAGCAATAAAAAAACGACTCGCATTAAGCCCTACCAACATACAGCAAAGGACTATCAAAAGTCAAATGACGAGTCATTTGTGAAATTAGTAATGAAATTAAATTTCGGGCTAATTTCCATTGCCATTTTCTATTTTGGTATTGTGTACGAATGAAACATGAATATAAACAGTTTCGTTAATTTAAATAAATATATATTTATTTATTTATTTAACTATAAACGGTTACCGAAGTTACGCTACACGCTAACCACTGCCCACTTAATTGTTAAACCATTTTCATAAACTCGACACTGGCAACAATGCCATTGAAAGAAGCTGATTGCCATACTGAAAAATAAGAAGACGCTAGCCGCAATGACAGACAGGACAGTAATATAAATGCTAATGGTTTGGTTATATTTTAAATAAACTAATTAATAATTAAATTATATTAGCAAAAGTCTTCAGCGGCTGCTCTTGGATATTATCGGTCCCAGGAATAAAAAACAACTATCAATCGTTAAAATAAAATAGAAATAATTGAATTCTTCATCGCCACAACCTAATTCAAACATAATGTATTCAAATACATTTCTTTCTTAGATAAAACTCTAATAAAATACGTCCAGGGATTTTAAGTTATATTTCTTATGTGGTATAATTATAAATGCAACGAATATCATTTTGAGTCCGGTCCTTGACTCTATTTATGACAGTGACTGATCTAAATATCACAATTTGTTCTTTGGAGTAATTTAACAAAACCAAGTGACATTTAAATATCCAACTTAAGTCTTATCTATCATCATCATCATCATGCTTTCCTATTACCCTCTGCTGGGGTGTAGGGCTCGAATCAAATTTTTCCATTTGTCTTATCTATACTAATATATAAATCTACAGTGGTTTTTACGGATGTTCCGTTATAACTACTGAAACATGCATCCGAATGACTTGAAACTTGGTATTCATGTAGAAAATACGTGTACTTAATGGATAGGCTAATATTTATATGAGGCTTGGACTCTCTAATAATAATGACAATAAATAATAATGTTAATTTTAAATGCCCAGCGAAGCGGGCGAGTACAGCTAGTCTGAATGAAATGTGTTGTGTTTTCAATCGGTATGTAATCGTACAGCAAGGATAATTTATTTCTTGAACCGATTCTTTCCACCTGATGGTTGTCTGGAAGAGATCGCAGTTAGCGATAAGACCCAATCCTACTTTTTTGTATTCGATGTTTTATATTTTATTAATTTTGGTGCACAATAAGATATACTATCTCTCTCTCTCTCTCTCTCTCTTACTTAATTTGTAGTATCTTCCGAATGATAGAGTTACCGACGCTCTTAATCATTTGAATTAAAAAAAAAAACAGTCACGCTAATGTCTACGGTGAAATAGTGCAAGTAAAATTAACCTGAATGTTTGCGAAAAATATTAATTTTACAGTAACAATTCTACAGTATTAGTCTGGTTTGTTTCATATCGTAAACGCGCAATTTGTTTTTTTTATTTTTATTTGTTTTTGCTTAGATATGTTGACGAGCTCACAGCCCACCTGGTGTTAAGTGGTTACTGGAACCCATAAACATCAGCAACATAAATGCGCCACCCACCTTGAGATATAAGTTCTAAGGTCTCAAGTATAGTTACAACTATTAGAATTTTAAATGGATTAAGCATCAACTAAATACCTTATTAGCGTCTGAAAATATTTTGACGTGTTGTGGGCGGGAGGTTTTCCCGCCGTAGCTGCACTAGCGAAGAGAGCGAACCTCACTACGATTACGACGACACTAGCATCGTTCGGACGCGTGTAACTCGCGCGAACACTCGCGGCCCGCGGCTCGGCGACTGACGCAGACACCAGAGCGCCTAGCTCGCGACTAATCGCCCCGAAACCGCCCTCGGCAAACAAAACCCCACCCGCCCGTAAAGAGCATTTTAGCACGCACGCCCCCGCTCCCGCGCCCTGATTTAATAGCGAGCGCGGGCACTGATTCACTTAACCGAACGCAACTACCGGCTCCGTCTCTTTCGTTCTCGCTTCTGAAGCGTATGTAGCTCTCTGTCGCTCGCGCTCGAGCGGGTGCGGTTGGAAAGAGACGGCGCGGCGGTCGCGGACACTTCTTTCTGACAACTCGATTTGCATGCGAGCGGGGGTCGCCCCGCAAACTTTATGTCCTCATTTCGTAAATTATTTATACGTTTCGGAAATATTTTTAACGGTGTGCTTGACGGTCAAAAAAGATTGCTTTAAAACCGAATTAATTGAGTGACCGAATCACAAGCGGCTTACGCGGAGGACGCGTGCGGCTCGCGGCGGATTTTATCACTCTCATTCCTCCAATTTGAAGAAGATCTAAGCTAAGCTTTGTTCGATATTCAAATTGGCAAATAGGAAGATCTTCTTAAATGCCATTACGAAGACACAGTTTTGAGTTTAAAAAAAAAACTATACATAGTACGTAAAAATATGATTTTTTTGTCATTTGAGTTAGAATAAAAAAAAAACTGTAACTTTAAATCTTCTAAAAAAAAATACCAAACTTGTACTTTCGGCTTCGTTCTTATTTAAAGTGTGAGTTCGATTAATCTAATTCAATAGTTATAGTTGTCAAGAGAGCCTGACTAACGCGAAGAAGTTATAGTTATCAATTGAATACAAGAACTGCCAAGAATATATTAGGCTTTTATACTGGGGGCTTCTTTAGCCAAACAAAAAAATATGATAGATCTGTCGTAGAGCCTATCTCTATTTATAGAGCCGATGTTTCGTTATTTTTTAAACTAAACTTGGAGTAATTTAAGTTTTTTAACGTTCGCGACACTTTATATTACCTGGGGTGAGCTCTGAGGAATCATTCGAGGTGATCCTTTCATATTTTCACCATCGCACCGCCGGCTACCAGGGTAGAGTTCATCCGGATTTTAAATAAACTTCCCTACAAGTTAATTCCCGAGCGCTATAATATGATCTTTTTCATACAGGTTTCAAGAAGAGTCAGCAGTAGACAGTGGCTTGGCTATGGGTACTGACCACTTACTAACAGGGAAACTGTATTCCCGTCCATCTAGCATGACAATAAAAAGACATTTTTGTCTCATGCTGACATTTCTGACTCGGCGTTGTGAAAGTGATCTATCTGGCAACCCTCGATAATTAAGAGTCGCACACACTGGCGGAGAAAGCAGGAAGATACAGGTATGTGTCAGTAATGGGTAGGATTAGTTAAGCAATTGTATGTAAGGCTCGGTTGTTTTTTAAGATAATGTCACTTTGTGGCTGCAATTAGTTAGATGTAATTGATCGTTTTACGGGCGTCCGCTTGTGTGACGTCAACCCTCAGCAAATGTAAACCTTTTCCAAGTAAACATAGAAATTAATGGCAAGACCAGATGATATGGTCAGGATCGATGGAATATTAGGGATCAGAGGCCTGTGATAGCCATCCGTATCTTCCGATCACTGGCTAATACAACTATGATTATGTTTGAACTTCTAAACTTTTTATCTAAACTAAAAATGTAAATACGAAAGCAATTTTGTTTGTCTTTGACGTATTTACGCATAATTAAGAAAGAACCTTTCATCCTACTTTTTACCTTTTATCCTAACACTGTTGGTCTCCGACTATTACCATAACTACATTACCAATCCTGACGACCAAATGGTAAGCAGTCGACGTCGCCCAAAGCACGTCATTTCAGATCCTCCCGATCCACTAACGGTGCTTTTAGGTATCACAAGCACCGGTCATCGTTCTCGTCGAACCCGTCGCTTGCGACGAAGGGCTCAGCGAGTAAATTAACCCACAGACACAGCCCACTCCCCGGGTCTTCTCAGTGGGTCGCGTTTCCGAGCTGGTGGTACATTCTGCGAAGCACGGCTCTTGCTAGGGTTCGTGTTAGCAACATCGTCAGGTTTTATACTCCTACTAACCCGGTGACGCTGATATGGTCTCTCTAGACCTTAAGCTGAGCTAAGAAAAAAAAAGCATAGACCCTTCCTTTTTTTTCTCTTCTCCGCAGTCAATGGCTAAAAAGAGATGGCTTGAAGATATATTAGCTGCGCTGATGACAATGCGGCTTGGTCCTCTCATCACTTAGGTTAGGGATTCCCAAATTATTTCAGTCAAGAGACCCCTGTTCCAAAATGCACCGATAGAACCTGACCCAATAGCCATACTTCCAAAATCTTATCTGACTTGCATAGTTTTTCATCTTGCTTCAGAATGAAGTAATAACCTAGCCCAAAAAAATATAAAGTAGCCCACGCTTCTCGACTTCGTGAGTTTTTTAAAACAATAATAAATCCCACTAAAATGTTGGTCATTCTTTTAACAAATTGGTACAGATTTTTTTTGCCTACCTACAACTTGTAGTCTCTAGGGGTTGATATTTTTGTTTATTGCCCTTGTAGGCAGACGAGTTTACGGCCCACCTGGTGGTGGGAGGTTACCGTCGCCCATGAACTTCAGCAATGCCAGGGGCAGAGCTAAGCCGCTGCCTACCTACCGTACAAATATGATCTGGTTTCATAAGGTGTATAGGAGAGCTCACGGGGCTCAAGTTCGAGAGACTTTGCTCACATCTGCTCTAACAAGAGCATGCTTCGCTGCATCTACCACCGGATCCAAAAATTTATACCATATCTTGAAAGTTTCAAATAGAGCCTTATGTTAATTAATACGGGTCAAATTTATGATCTCGTCGAGCCCAAAGTCAGTTTTCGTTTATTATTCTTGGTTATACCTCGAAGCCTATTACGATTATAAACCGTTAAGCATCTAAAAATATATATTGTTAAAATTAAATTTTTCAGCCGTTCGAAATTAATAAAAGTTCAACTTAATTGTTAATGACGTCACGTCAATGAGTTCACGTGGGTCATATAAATTCTATGCCAAGACTTACTTGCGGGAAAAAAGCGCCTCTCAAGAGCATTAAAGATTTTATCACAGAAATTTAACAAACCATTTTAATTATTTCTAAACTAAAATTCTCCACAAAGTTAGGCTTTGAATACATCGCCTAACGTAATGAGAATCCGTAAAAAAATATGAAAAATAATAAGATAATAATGATGTCAAATACTCACGGACAACTCAAAATATAAGCTTCTTAATACTTTATAAGCAATCGTTTCAACATCTGATTCTTTAATCAGAACGTTGATTCAAAATTTACTTGTCTTGTGTACTCCTACGCAACATTAACTTTGCTAATACGTCACAGAAGCTAATGAACTTTGAATCGTACGTCGAAGGCAGAAAGCTTATCGAAAACCGTCTGTGGGAAATATAAGGTTTGCCGAGGTGTAAGTGACAATAAAACGGGAGCTTAGCTCTCTGGGCCGTCTTCAAGTGGAACGGGTGAGGCGCGCGGGGGCAGGGGGCGCCCGAAGGGAGGAGCGACACTAACATAGCCGTCTCACTCGGGCCTCGGATTGTACTCGCCATTTTATTCCGTTTTCGCCAAAAGCGCGCCATCTCCGTTCACTACATAATTTATTTTCACTTAAAAAATTGGCCCGCACTGTTTTCGGGGGGCACGTGATATATTAAATGTAATACGGTAAATGATTTCATTTAAATCGGCGTCGGTGATGGTTAGCGGTTAATGATCCACGGCGACTGTACTGTTATTGTCCGTCCGGTTTTCATTTACGCCTTGTAAATATGTACTTTGCCCGCTTTTATTGTCTTTCTTGAGCTTTATCGCTTTTTCGTTGCATACTCGATGCGTTTGTAGCATCCTGTCGGCGGGACAACTATGTTGAGATACATTAGGGTAGTGTTAACGGGAACAGTATTCAAAGAATGACGTCTCAGTGGCTTTATTGTTTATTAATCTACTGAATTGCTAATCAGATCGCGATGCAGATCCGACGGTAGTTTCAGCGAAGCACTGCTCTTACTAGGGCTAGGGCTTATTACTTATCAACGTCCTCAGGTTAGAGCCCCATCCTCAGGCTCAACTACGTGAGCTTGTCTATCAGACCGCAGAAACTAGAATACCAGCGATTACATAGGACAAAAAAAAAAAAATAGTCGTCGTGGCCTAAAGGATAAGTCGTCCGATGCATTAATGTTGAGCGATGCACCGGTTGTTCTAATCCCAGGCGGGTACCAATTTTTGTAATGAAATATGTACTCAACAAATGTTCACGATTGACTTCCACGGTGAAGGAATAACGTCATGTAATAAAAATAAAACCCGCAAAATTAAAATTTGCGTAATGACTGGTGGTAGGACCTCTTGTGAGTCCGCACGGATAGGTACCACCACCCTGCCTATTTCTGCCGTGGAGCAGTAATGCGTTTCGGTTTGATATGGGCTCCAGTAACCTTTTAACACCAGGTGGGCTGTGAGCTCGTCCACACATCTAAGCAATAAAAAATAAATAAATAAATGCTCCCCTTTGTAAAAACAATACAAACTATGTTATAAATACTTAGTCTGGCCATAAATACTGTTACAATTAAAAATAAACAAAATATTACATTTGAATTTGGAATCTGTCATTTTTATATGATTGCTCATTGAGTTTTCTCATTTGGGCGCCAATACATTGTACAATATTTTGCGATATTAAAATGCAGTGGGGTGATAAAGAGAACCGAATCGCTGTGATTGCATTACACAAAGTAGGTATGGAGCGAAATGCAATTTTTAAAACTCTCCATACGCTTGGTATTAGTAAAATGTTTGTGTACCGAGCTATTAATAGGTGCAATGAGATCTCCTCTGTTTGTGACAGAAAAATATCTGGCCGTTCACGTAGTGTTTGTACGAAAAAGGTGGTCAAACCACCGTTACCGTAAGGTGGTTACCGTATGTTCCATGGGGAGTGCTCTGAGGAATTGTTCGAGATGATACCGGCATCTCGTTTTTACCATCGCACCGCCCGCCACCGGAGTAGAGTTCATCCATACTACCTGGAGCCACTGCGGTCATCCACAGTGCGTTTCCAGAGGTCTTTTTTGCCACGTACCATCCGGCTATGGAATGAGCTCCCCTCCACGGTGTTTCCCGAGCGCTATGACATGTCCTTCTTCAAACGAGGCTTGTGGAGAGTATTAAGCGGTAGGCAGCGGCTTGGCTCTGCCCCTGGCATTGCTGAAGTCCATGGGCGACGGTAACCACTCACCATCAGGTGGGCCGTATGCTCGTCTGCCTACAAGGGCAATAAAAAAAAAGACTTAGGGACGCTGTTCTTACCTCTCTTCCGTTGTGTTCTGACGGACCACAGATCAGGCAAATAATTAGGCTTCATGACGTTTATGAAATGTTCCCGCCACATCTGCTCCAGAGCGAGCAGACCGCCGTCGCGTTTAGATAAATATTCAACAACCTTCATTCCGTGAGATTCATAATCGACATTTTCTTGGCTAGAATAAAACGATTTCTGTATGAATATCTTTTTGTCATGATTTTATCAGAACAAACATAACAGACATACAATATGACAGTAAATTAGTGTTGAATACACAAATAAGAATTCATTGCTACTTTTTA